AGAGACAAAAGGGCAGAAAGAATGGGATGAGAATAAATAGAGAATAATGCAAGATATGAATGAAAGGAGTTCTCAAACTAATCTCTGTGCAGCTCCATAAATAGAGAATAATGCAAGATATGAAAGGAGTTCTCAAATTAATCTCTGTGCAGCTCTGAAGAGGCACTAATTTCTGGAAAACAAAACACAGTGCCAAAACCTCTCCCATATGGGAATCAAGAATAGTTTGAAAGGTTCACTCATCAGATAAGAAAGGATTAGACACTTTTCTCTGTCAGAACTAGGGAGAAAGCTGAATATTTTGAGGAAAACAAGAAAGTCACTCATCAGATAAGAAAGGATTAGACATTTTTCTCTGTCGGAACTAGGGAGAAAGCTTAATATTTTGTGGAAAACAAGAAAGCATTAGGGCCATTAAATCATGATTTTGAGACCCATATAAGGAGTACTTCAATGAAAGTGCAGGGGAACAGTTTCAGTTTCAGACCATTTTGTGACTGTCAGTAAAGTGCCTTGTAAGACAAAACTACATAAGGGAATTCACACAGGGATGGATCAGAAGGTAACCATTAGACCTGAAAAGTTACTTGAGTATTTTCCAAGTCCTCAATTGTAAACAGACTAAAGGAGGTTTTGCTGCTACAGTTGGTGACACACAGGTTTCTGAAAAAAAAAAAAAATCTGATGTAAGATGAACCAGGTGGAACTGCATCCTAAAAACAAAGCAAAAGTTAGTACAAGCTGGTGAATTAACACGGATTAAGTCAGTCACAATATTATGTCTAGTAAAAGTGAGGACTGAATCTCTCTCAAACAAGAGGGGTACAAAAGTAATAGAGACTTCTGAAAGAAATAGTTTTGCTGGGCAACACTAAAAGATATCCAAGAATAATGAAGGCACAGCTATCTCACACACCTGCAGCTGAAATCCAGTATCAGAGAAAAATAAATATATGGAGATGAATGTAATGGAGACATTCATTAAGCAAAAAATGTAAACAAAAGTTTAGAACCTCGTACAGGTCTGAGAATTCCATGTGGATTTTCCAATGGAAAATAACAAAGATTAAGAAGACTGAAGCCTGCAATGATTTGCTGCTCAGAGGGTAATAAGAGATACATTTTATTAGCCAAGTTTACTATGCTGGGTAAACAGTAAAGAGGATTCGAGGGAAAACAGCATTTCACAAAGGTCTTTCCAGTCCTATAATTACAACTTAAGCAGACAGGCTCTGAAAAACATTAGAAGAAAATTCTGGAAGTGAGAGGTAAATTGGATCTCATTCAAACAAGTGAAAAAGAAAAAATGTCAAGATATATAAGGCACAAATTTTGTGAAAGAATGACAGGGCAGACAGATCCCTAGTTAGAAAGCTACAGAAAATAGAGAGAGCAGCAATCCCAGTCAGTATGGACAGCAGGTAACTAGTTCAGAGCAGAGAGGAGATGCTTCTGGAGGATTTTATGAAGGGTGCATGTCCCAAACTACTGGTAGAGAGTTACAGACTCTAAATAAATCCAAAAAGAAAAATTTAATTAGAAAACAAAAGGATAGTCCTTGGCTTTAAGAAGAGAAGCTAACAAATTCCTGAGGAATAAGATTAAATCTAGGAACTGTATATGTTTATGAGCTGTTTGAACATACAAACAGACACCATTCCCAGACTCAGAGGAATTCTAAAGCCCATATTACTGGACTTAATTATTGTGATTCAGAAGAGAGTTGTATTGCCAAACTAGGAGAGATTTCATAAACTGATCCCTGCATAATATTCTTCCTTGCTTTTACCAAATGTCTTTTCTGTTGGTATACTGGGAGTTGCTAGTTAGTGATGTTCACACAGATCAACCAAAATTTACTGTGGGGAAACACATTTTAGATAAAACTTCATAAAATCACAAAACTCTTCTCTCTTGCTGTAAGCCCACTTACAAAAGAGAAGAAAATATGTGTGTCCCATGGCAGCACTGTGTGGCTTTGAAAATAAGGATCTGCTTTATTTAAAAGAGCTTCCATATAAGTGAACAGATTTACTTTAAAAAAGAGTTAGGAAGAGCAGCAGCTACCACTTTGCCTACAGTTTGTTCCAGATATGAGATGTCCAGGCACAGGGACCAAGGAGTATCCAGACCTGAAGGGCAGAATGAGCAGATCAGAGCTGTACCATAGGTAACTAACTCATTTGCATGTCCTATGCTACTTTTTGTGCAAAACTTGTCTCCTCCGTAAAAGCAACATCATTTCAAACATGCAGATTTGCTACTTCCATCTCTGGAGATCAAAAGAATAAAGATAAACTTGAAATATTTGGTGACAATATCTCTATAAAATTAATCATTATAAATGTAAATGTGTTAAAATTTGATTAGATACTTACAGAAATAACACAAGGATCTGTTTAAAGCTAATTATGCTAAAGTTAAGTCTAAACCAACAAAAACCTCACGAGTGAGTAGAGATGTGAACCTCTTGGACAGAACAGCTAACACAAAATAATGCAGTCTCTTATCTTAGGTGTCTATGCACTGGCTTACCTACCCACACAGAAACACAGACCTCTGAATTTCTTTACACATTTACCAGCTCTTCCCTGCCAGCTTCATCTAGATGTAACAATCTCAGAATGCAAGAATATTACCAAGGACTTCAAAGACTGGAAGATCTTCTGCCTCCAAGTACTCATCATCCATGTTAAAAGTATGAACTTCTTCCTTAAGGCTTAAAAAAAATATAATGTTGCTTGAATCAAGACAGATTTCTCAGTTAGGTAACCTCTCTTGGGGGAGAAAGATATGAAATCTTATCAATGCATTTCTAAAAGTAATACCTGAGTGAGAGTTTTCCATTTCCAGAATCTTCAAGTTGGAATTTTATAATCAAAATATAGAAAGATTTCAGTAGACTTAACCTCCTGAATAACTGATATATACAGACTCAAAAGAACAGGTGCTGCCGTTCCAAATATACACATTTTAATAAAAGAAGAAATAGATGGGAAGACTAAGCAAATGAGAAATGGGAGAGAGATCCTTCGGGGATTAAAAGAGCTTCGAGCAGTGCATATAAATACATCACAGATGGTACCTGTCTCCAACTAGGATTCAACATATTTTATCCAAGAATGCTGCTGGAGAGACCACAGGACAAAATCTTCTTTCACATATGTCATTGGGCCTAAGTCCAAATTCTCATTGGAAGTAACCAGAAGAATAACAACTGTGATGGATGGTAATATCCTATTAGACTCGCTTGTTTGATTCCAGAATGATCCCTTTAAGGACACTCAAGAGGTGAAGAAACAAAAAGTACTATACTTTTGATGGCAGCAATTAGACTCTATATTTACTTATACATAGAGGATTAACTTCTTCATCTTCTCCTTACCACTAAGAAATAGGTACAATAAAGCAGGAGATGTCCTAATGATGAATAAAAGTATTCTATCAGTTCAGATTGCCAGGAAAAAAAAAAATCAGAATCTGTGTCATTCATTATTTATTCAAATAATAAAAATTCATCAGTTAGAAAAATGAGACACACCGAATATTACTGCATGGGGAGGGATAATAGGGAAGGCTTTCCCTCTTTCTGTTTGCTGATGACTACATTGACAGTAGATGGGATTCTCACTTTCCAAGGGCTACTGCACATCTGCACAAGTGCCCTGAAAGAGCAGAAATAACTTACACCTTGCACAACTGCTTTGCATGTTTGTTTTATTTTCAGTTGCTTATATAAATGTCTTTTTAAGAAAAGGTTAGAACTGTAAAAAGAAAGGAAGAAAGGAAGAGGTACCCAGTAGGGATAGGTATCCCATATGAGGAAAGGGTTGCACTTTTTAAGCTGAACTTTGGACAAAGGAATAACCTGCAGGTGATCACACACTGGATGTATAGCACCATTTCTGTCACAAGTTGTGTTGGTGTACAGGTTTCAGGTGCAATCTTCTTGAGAAATTCATAATATTGACAAAGAATAAAGTGTGAACGAAATCAGTTCAAGCTCACTGCTCACCAACCTGACAAAGTGGCTGCATGGACCACAGATGCAATCAAGAGGATGAAGACAGTCAATAAATGTTGCACACCTCTCCTCAACAGCATTTTTTCTTACTTTGAAAGTCATGTGCATCACACACTTGTGCAAAACAGCTGATGGGGTTATGTTGGGAGAGTGAGGTAGAGCCAGATGTTTGGGAGAGGTGAAGCAGACACTATGCATGGACCAAGAACAGATTGAAAGTGGTCTGGTTTTCCACAATCTCAGAGTCTGTGCAGGATGCTAGGGCACACCCTGTGTGTCCAGGAAACATTTGCTTTGCCTCTGTAAGATATGATACTGTGTTGTTATTATCTTACATCTCTGCTCAAAAACACATTCTGCAAGAGCACTACATCAAGCAAATAAAGCAGCCTAAGATGAATTATTCATTGTGCATCTGTAACTACTTATTATTCTTCTAAAAGAAATATAACTCACTACCAGAGTCCAAAACTCGTCTGTCTGCTTAGAAGTTGTGACAATATTATTTTTGCTTTCCCCTTCAAATCACAAGAAAGATTGTGTATCAATCTGAAGCAGAGGGTAAAGCCATATCCGGAATGGAGTGTGACATCCTTTTTTTATACTCTAAACCAGGACTAAACCACAGATAAATGTATTCAGCCACCAAGGGGCTGGGCTACATGATATATGAGAGAGGAAGAAAAGTCAGCTCCAAGCAAAATTTAGTTCCTTCATCCTTTGTAACCCTCCCAACAGAAGCAAACAACAAAACTAGCAGCAATTCACCCCAGAAGGTTGTGGCTCCTGGCAGTTCCTCAGAACTCTGAGGACCATCCCCTCCTGATGCCAAACAACACCACCTTTTGTGAGAATGGATTCAAAGAAGGCATCAGCTAGCCAAAAGCTACTAATTGCTTGTTATCTACTTCTTTTCTTTCCCTGTTTCTCTTAGATCTACTTAGGCCAGCCCTTCAGAACGACTCTGCACACGTACCTTCCTTCCGTCGGTGCGTCCCAAGCTCCACCGTGATCTGGACACAGTAGACCACCCGGGTTTGTATGCCACCTCCACAAAGCCCTACATGCTTGTGGTGCTGAGGGTCCTGCTGGTTAAAGAGGAGAGACACTTGGCAAGCTTTCCATTCAGATGTTCTCCAGGCAAACCTTTGAAAACAGAAGAGAACAGGCAAAACAAGACTATGGGTGAGGGAGAGGTACTTCATAGATGACAAAAGACAGTTTAATCTTTATAGCAGCACTTCTCTATCCAAAACAGGGAATGTTTTGAAACATTCTGAGTGTTAAATTTACATAGGTTAAGTATTTGCTATTTGTCAGGAGCACTTGTGCAAAGCTTCTCACAGAGCACCGATCTCCAAAGCATTCTGAAACATTAAATCATCCTGACAACACCTTTGAGCAGGGTGTAAAACAGGAGAGAAGATAAAGAGGTTTGATTAAGTGTGAAAATTCATTTTCAAACATGTGGCTCAAACAACTGAACCACCTTTCTACCAAGAGCAGAACACCTCACTCTGAAATGCATTTAATAGCTGAAATCCTGCGTGTGTCAACAGAGCTCCAAGCATGGGTGGCTTGTCTAGAGGGGACAGCTTTAAGTGCCTAAGGTGCTACCAATTCCTTCAAGGGATTGGCCAAAGCAATTCAGTTAATTCCAATTTCCAGACATTGTGATACACAGCAAGCTCTAGATAAGAAATACTTCCATTCTATATTGCATTCACAAGTAATGAGCATTAATGGTCTTCAAGGAAGGATAATGTTCTGGAGCACAGCTAGGTGAATGCTGTACAGACAATAGTCTTTGGTATGTACCAGCTTAAATGCCAGGAAGAGCTTAATAAAACCATAGGGAGAACAGTGTTGTGCATCTGTGGAAAGGGAAAGTTATTTCCCCATAATGACTGCAAATGTAGAGCATATTTCTAACACAACAGTTTTCACAGGCATAATTCGCTTTGATTCACAGGTCACAGTATGAGGGGAGTAAATAAGAGCCCGAAGTCTTTCTGAGCTTTCTGAAAGCAAATCTTAGGCAATATTGTTTTTATAACCAATCTGTTCACACTTCTGCTGCTTTATTCCTCCTCTACTCTACATTTCATAGTTTACTTTTTCCATACAATCTTTGGGCTTTGTGTAATGTAAACTACATAAAATAATTCCCTTCTTTTATCCTCAAGACAAATGCTCTCTCCTCTTACAGCAGATCCACAGTTGTTAAAACTACATTTGTTTGTTAACTGCTGACTGATCACTGTAAACTCAAACACAATGGGGTGTCTCTGCAAAAAAAAAACAAAAAAACAACTTCCACATCATAATTCTGTGCATCCTCCACAGTGAGTATCTGTTCCTGACTAAAGCTGTGGCAAGGAAACCTGCATCTCAAAATTATATGAAATATAAACACATTAGTTGGAGCACACATCAATGTTCTCTTAACTTCTGATGCTGTAAATATGGGCATAAAATGATTTCTAGGCACAAAGCACTTATGAGTTTTGTAACTTACTCACGGAAAGCGTTTGTGAGTACTGTCAATTACTTTTCATTTACAGGTACTTGTCAGATGAGCTGTCATGCTCTCTTAAATAACACACAGCATCATGTGCAAGTCTAGATACACTCACGGGGTTTATTACCAGCAGAGAAAACAATAAAGAACACACTTTTCACATGACAAGCATCAAATACTTCAACTCCCACAACATATAAAGCACAGCCATGAATTTTTTTCTTTTAGTAGTTCCTTCTGGGAATTCCCAATCCCATTTTGGGGGCCTGCAGTGCTAAATGCAACCTTCCTCTTACCATAAAAGCAATGAAACATGCTCTTCATCAAACATGGGGTGAAGAGCATCCCTCCTCCACACCACCCCAGGACATTGTGCTTTGCAGGTTTACACTTACAAACGAAAAGTCTAAACACAAAACACACATTTTCACAGCCATGGAAAGAGTTGTTTTAGGGAAGTATTTATTAAACAATAGCTGACTAAAGAAAAACTGATTATCAGTATCTGCCTTAGGAAGTCAGCTGTGAACTCTGGATCCCAGACTCATTTCCAGAGGTGTGAGCATCTGCTTCTCCTATTCAGCGTGAGCTGCGGGAGTTAACACCTACGAAAATTAGGCCATCGGTGATTAAAATTATGCAAAATAACTAAATCTGAGCTCACAGATAATTAAACTTCATCAGCTCCTGAATCAAAAAAAAAAAAAATCCCTTTAGATATTCTCACAGAGTAACTAACTGGATAGTGTGCTCCACACCAAGCAGTCTCCAGTGAACAGCTCTCACTGCTCCAGTCATTGCCTGCACTGCTGTCCACAGCTCCAACTCTCAGCCCCATCAGCCCATCTTGCTTTTGCCCTGTTGACATGCCCTCAGCTATCTGGAGTTTCCCAGTAACAAATCCTGATCTCCAAGCATTAGTTGTTTAGAAGGGACACATTTTCAATGCCATTAAAAAGGCCAATATCCCAGAAATGTATCCAAGGGATTGCTGTCCCACTGAGTGGGAAACACAGTGCAAGACCTTTTCCAACAGACACAGTGACCTTGGACAGCTGTGTGGCAGACTCTTTGCAGGGTTTTCAGCAGCATGGCTAATACTTGGTAGTAATTTGCCCACCTATGGACTACACTAAAGGCAACGAGAATTCACATTATTTAACAAATAGAAATTGGCTGCATAATCTCTATATTTAATCAGAAGGTTGTTAATAGCTATTAGCACAAAAACAAGATTACTGGCTGGAAAATGCTTGGGATTGTAACTTTGGTAAACTCAGGGTAGTACTTGCAAATTATTAGCAATATCCACAGCGAGTTTAACACATGACTAATTTCTCCAGCTGAATGCAGATGACAAAAGTAATCAGTGCTACTATGGGCATTCTGTTGTTAGAGCAGAAATATGCTGTACCAGGGGCCAGTACCATCCAGCCACCCTGTTCACTGTCCCCAGAAGGTGTGATAACTATCACCAGAAGGTGTGACAGCTCAAATCCCCAGTGTGGTAACTCAGGAAGCAGGAGGGTCATTACACACTGGGATCAAAGCTGGTTGACTCCAGTGTACTCTCGTGATCACTCTGCCAAAACCTGTCACTGACAACAATTCCAATATCTCATTTTAACTTCCACCAATATGTAGTTAGACTGATGAAACTCGGTACAGTCACAGTCCTAGCTGTGACCCATTTATCTACAGACCTCTCACTATAGCTAAAATATCTCAAACCCTTTCCTTTCACTTCCCAACATGCTTGCTCCAGCCTTTTACAATACTGAGGTGCAGGAGTTCTAGGTACTCCAAAGACTGACAGATCCCATTGCTGATGCTTAGAGGTCTAACCAGGTAACATCCCAAATGGGACATCCAGAACCCACAGACAGCTGTACCAGTCTGCTTAAGAAAAAGGACAGGCAAAAACTGCTAGTTTAGAAACAATAAAGTATGTGCTTAGGTATCTAGGAGGCAACTTGGCTGATAAAACTGAACAGCTTTTCACATCATGAGCAGTGCTCAGAATTTCCCAGATAAAGAGTCATTAGAGGAAGCAGAAGATCAGATTCCACAGGTTTCTGTTCCAATCACAGCCAAAGTGTGCACTTGCATTGTGACACCCAACCACAGCTACAGGATCAGCACCCAGAGTGGAGCTGGAGAACCAGAACTTCACTGTGGATGGGTACTGACCCAAAGGGAGGCTGCAAAGCTGGATGTCATTGCTGTATGCCCAAGATCAAAGGGCTCAGGAGTAGTGTTGCTATCACTCCCAATGTGTAACTCCAGAGCCTACTAGCATGGTTCACTGCATTTCCTCTCCAATCTTTCCTACTTCACACTAATGCCTTAACTTTAATTTGGGCATAATGAGCCTCATTTACAAAGTGATACCATCACACCTGTATTTCAGCAGTAACTTCAAGCCTTTTGAAAATACCAGGTCTTAAAACTTTCCCATTTTCCATCATTTAACTTCCGAAAAGCCTTGAATTTCCAACAAAGCAAAGAGGTAGGTTTGGGTTTTTTTCTAAATCCCTGTCTTGTAACATAGCAACCACAAGCAAAATGAAAGATATAAAGACATAATCATAATTCTGGAAAATCTATCTATTCCCAGCAAACACAAAAGCTACACATCAAGGATAAAAATGATCTAATGCATTGTTTTAAAAGTGATGATTCAGTGACAGTTATGCAACAAATAAGTGCTCAATATCTTTCCGATTTATAGTAACCTCTTGGTCTCTTTAGTCTATTGGACTTATGCTCTTAGTGTTTACACATGTTTTATACCTGTATATACCCATTCACTTTAATTGAACTATCCCAAATTTATATCACAATAAAAGAAAGTAGAATCACCTCCTACGTGTTTAAGCCTTTTAAGTGCTTAATCCTTTCAAAACAAATAACCAAAAGTAAAACAGAGCACAAAGCTCAGGAGTCTTACAAGCAGTTAAAGTGTTTTATTTTCTTGTATTTAAACTATTGATTATAGAAGTTATCGTAAACTTCAGTCATAAAATTAAAAGCCCTTCCTATTTAACAGCAGATATATACCCTTGCCACCTGCCTCTGATGGGACCTTTAACTTGTAGCCTTGCCATGGACATAGAGCTAATATTTAACAGAGCAGTTCTGAAGCTTAAGGCACCTTTATTCATTCCCTGGATCCTTTCAGGAGACTGGAATATGCCTTCATCCATCTCTTTCTTCTGAGTACAACTCTGCAAGTTCTACCTCTTTAGCTGCTGCTTTTCTGTGTTAGTAGGTGTAGCCCACAATATGTTCCTTCATTCAGTCATGGGTTGCTCTCTGCCCCTACATTAAAAAACAGCCTCTAGGAAATCATAGAATGGTTTGGGTTGGAAGGACCTTAAAGCTCATCTCATCCCACCCCCTGCCATGGGGCAGGAACACCTTCCACTAGCCCAGGTTGCTCCAAGCCCCATCTAACCTGGCCTTGAACACTTCCAGTGATGGGGCAGCCACAGCTTCTCTGGGCAACCTGTGCCAGTTTCTCACCACCCCCACAGGCAAGAATTTCTGCCTAATATACTGAGAATTTCTCCCTAATCCTCTTCCTTTTCCTGCTCAGAGACTTTTTCTAGTCAATGTCATCACCCATTTTCTTTGCTGTGGCCAGGGCAAGCTTTCAAAAATTCTTGCCTGAAAAATAAAGCTAAAGCAAAGATTGCTCGTCCCAAATCAACCAAAAAATTTCCAGGAACTGAGAAAGTAAACAGGAGTCTCACCTTAGAAGATTTTCAGACTAATCTGATTAGGCAAACACAAGCCAGAAAGAAAGAATGGCTTGTGCTGAGACCAGACAAATGAAGGAGGGAGTCTTTTATTTCGGCTCTGGAATCTCTTTAAATTCATCATCATCTTGTACGGGGAAGAAAAGATAACTGTTGGGTAAGCCTCAGCAAAGCCACAGATGAAGTGGCATGTATTTAAGAGGGAAAAAAGCATAATCTTTCTAGGTATTACACTGCAAAGAGAATATGCTCAAATAATGAGAATAGGAGCATCAAAGGCTTCTTATAATATTTTACAGGGATTAACATTCCATCCCTCTATGGCTGAAAACCATTGCTTTCCAATCTGAGTTATTTCCAGTATCTCAGTCACCAGTTCCAAAGGACCAACACCAAATCACCAGGCTGTAAACTGTAACATGGCCCACTAACATCCTTCACTGGCTGCTGACACCTAAATAACACTTTAAAACATTTGGCTTCTGTTCATGAATTCAATTCTCTGGCCCCAAAGGCCTTACATCCAGTAGACCCATAGTACATACTGCAATATTACGGATTTTCATTCTTGCCTGTTTCTGTATACTGAATGGACAAATCAAAGTCTACTAATCAGGCACTACTGCAAAATTCTCCTCAACACTGCACATTGTGAGCAGGTCATAACCTACCACCTGCATTTTGAGATATTACATCCCAAGAAATAACAATTAACTAAATTCCAGAGTTGCATTTTTTAATACTTTTACTTAAGTGGCTCTATTAACCTGCAAGTTCAATGTCATTTTTCTAAGCTAGTACATTAGGCACTTTATTCCTAGTCATGCAGATACTGCCCTGGAGGTGTTGCCTCAAGGTATGAAGGCACCACAGGATGGAGAAGGTTTCGGAGTTCATAGGCTCATGAAAACCTGGGCATAGCAGCAGTACACTGAAAGAACAAGTTTCCTTCTATAGTAAGAGTGTCACCTCCAAAAAATTATCAGTGTTATGCAGGTTCTCAGCTTTTGGGATCTCCTAGCTCTACATAACTGTTTGCCCTTCAATACAGTGCAATGTCAAAAAGTAGAAGTGAGAAACTAGGGACAGACCCAGGTCTGTTCACTCCTTGATTAACTTCCAGCCAGTCTCTCCCAATCAGGTGTCACCTGCACCCACACTCCTGTACAAAATCAGCAAGACAATGTCTTAATCTATTGTCTTTGAAATTGATGTGCGCTTGGGCAGGAGCAAAAATCACTCTGTAAGAGCCTTTTTGTAAGATGTAATCAAGCAACAGAACTTTTTTTTTTTATACTTCCTCTCTTCTGCTAGCAGGGTGCATAAAAATGATCAGCATTTGATTTTGAATGAGCCCAGTGATACAGAGACACTTTTACAGGTTACACCTTCCTAAGAAATTTATCTTGCAAAGGCTTTATCAAAGGTTTTGGCAGTATCTGGCAAAGCCCCAGAAACTCATGACTTGAACACTGAACAGATCTCCTGTTAAACACATTCATTCACAGACAGGGAGATTTGTCTGCACGCATATAAAATTTTATCAATCCCAAAGCATTTTACAGTCAATCCCAGAATATGTCACACACAAAAAAAAAAATAAATAAATCAAGCAATATTTTATTTCCTTGAACAGCACACTATCAACCTCCTATACCAGCCTGGCCAAGCATAATGATGGAGTTTGCAGACCAGAAAGGCAAGATCCTCTCCTGCCAGAACAAAGATTGCCACAAACGAAGCAAGCTCTCAGGGACTGCAAATCTTCCCATTCCAAGAAGTACCCAGAGGGAAGCAGAGTAAAGTCCAAACTACTATCTCTGATCAGTTCCCATTTTCCTCAAGCAGGACTAGGATAATTTTTATGGGGAGATGAAGAGGAATCGTTATATCTTATGTAAAAATTGCAGTCTCAAAGCCAATAAAACCAGAGCCATGGAGACCTGCCCAGTCTCTGAGCAGCTGAGGAAATTCTCCGAAGCAGCAATCAGTATGAAAGCCCCTCTGGAGAACAAGAGTATCTGCTCTCAGTTTTTGAAAATATGAAAATATAAACCGTAGTGGATGTAATTTAAAATTATTCCTATATATAACTGTAATTACTGTAATAGCAATAACGATAATAGCAACAATTACCAGACTATTACTAGCCATAAATAATACCACTAATCATGGTTAACAATGATCAAATCAATGATCTCTTAGGCACAGAGAGAAAGCACAACATGTGACCCTCTCCACGCACGAAGCGAGCAACGAAGACCTGCTTTGCACAATGCAGTCATCAAACAAGGGTTTCTAACTTCCAAAAACTGGGCTAAAAGCTCTCAGCATACCTGGGGCAAGGCTGCAGCAGCTCCTTCCCTCCAGCACTGCATGCTTCCCTCTCTTCCAGGTCCGGGCATCGCTTCCCATTGCCCATGGCCACGCTCCGCACGCTGCGGCGCCGGCTCCGGAAGCCTGGGCTGAGATCTCCCCAGCCACACGTCTGTGAGCAGGTGCTCCATGGGGACCACTCCGACATCTCACAGTCTTTAGCGATGACACAGGACTTGAAGGTCACAGGGATGGGATCTTGCAGGCAGAGGCTAAGATAAGAACACAGCACAAAAGCTGAGGAAGCCTTGTTTAATAAATCTCCTTTTCATTTTCAAGCCAAACCCCTCCCCACAGAAGAAATCCATGGTCATTTTGGGCACCTGCATCAACACTGATACAATGGAAGCAAGAGGAGCTCTAATGCAGTGCACATAATGCATTTCCATTGAGCTCTGAGTGCAAACTTGCATGCCAAGTAGTTTGTAAATAATATATTTCATTTATTTTGAGTTAAAACAAACACAAGAGGCATCATATTTCCTCCTGTGCAGTTAGAATTTCACAGTTTATCCAGAATGGAAAATAAAATCCAAAACCAAGTGAAATATTGCCACTGATAGCCACTCCCACACCCTGCACACAGGACAAACTGTCTGCTGTCTGTCCAGGTGTCAGCACATCCTGCTGAGCAACTCTGCTCTTCTAAACAATAATTAGTCCCACACTAATAGGAAAGGTGTCAGTTTTGTGAGGCTGTTATCAAACAAATGCTGTCAAACAAGGCCAGAGGGTTTTCAAACCTGACAACCACCAGAGACCCAAGAATGCTGCAAACTGGGAATGTATTTCGGGACTCAATTACTCCTGCTGACATTAGGACATGATCTCATTCATGCTGTAACACATTGAGACACCACACAAGGCCCAATACAGTGAGAAAACAAATTCTAAGAGCTGCCAACTGCTGAGATTTGGTATCAAGATACAAAGTCCCAGAGTAACATTTTTAAGAGTTCCAAAGTTACAAGAGCTTAACACAACACAGAAAAGTAAGGCAAATGCAGCAAATACTTCTCTGAAAAGACAAACTTCCATGCCAAGGCCACCATCCTTCCTTGCTCCTCTGCTTCTGTCTCAGATGGCTCTCCAGTCCAGTGGGCACTGGGAGAGAGCCCACTGAGCACAGCTGCAGCTGATCCACCTCACCCTGTCTAGAGACCAGCCAAAGTGGCTGCCCCATCCCTGGAAGTGTTCAAGGCCAGTTAGGATAGGGCTTTGAGCAAACTGGTCTGTTGGAAGGTGTCCCTGCCCATGGCAGAGGGGCTGAAACTAGATGGTGTTTTTAGGTCCCTTCCAACACAAACAATTCTATGATTCTAGGGGGTCACCCTTCCTCCCCCAAAATAGGAGAAAAACCTTCCATAGCTGAGGTAACAGCAGAAAAAGAGACACCAAAAGAAGACTGAGGGATGGATGAGATGAGCATGAGCAGAGATACCACTGAAGCATTATGAAGGACACGATGGGGCAAAAAAAGATGAAATCCAGAAAAAAAAAGGAAACACCAGGAGAAAAGAACGTAAGATTTTCTGAGTTCTGCATAGTTATACAGATGTGTCACAAATGAGTGTTTTAAGGTCACTTAAGACACTGGCAAACTGGCCTCAGAAATTAAGACCACACATGATTAACTCAGTGTGAACTCTCTAAATTTGTCTTCTCTAGCCTCTAGTTGCTTAAACCACAATATGACCAAGCTTTTGCCAGCTGTAAACAGCAAATACAGGTACACTTAAAAGGTGTGAAATCCAGAGCTGCTGCCAGGGAACCAGCCATTACCTCTCTTACTATTACTTGTAGCACAGTTTGACTAACCTAACTTCCTCTAAAGAAAATAGACTGGGGCAATCATTTCAGGATTGCCAAGCAGCCTCATGGGGGGAGCAGAGAAAATAAAGGACATTCACTCACTTCTCCAGTCTAGAAATTGGTCCCCTTTTCACAAAGGTCTGTAGGAATATTCCCACTCAAACACATCAAGTTTGACTAGACCCTCAACCACCTGCAAAACACAGCATTTAGTGGCTTATATTTGGACTTCAAAGTGAAAAAATAAAGTGCAATAACTTTGTCTCATTTTTTTCCCCCAGAATAAAGCTCATTGAATTCACAGGTGCTGTGAGGATGCATTTACTGAGGTTTGTTTAAACAACTCCATGAAGTACTGACAGCCTGTGATAGAGCCACCCCAAAATAAAACTATTCTTGCTTACAACTTAAAAACATGTCTTATTCCTCTATTACAAGTCAAATGCAACTGACTGCAAAGCTGTCCCTGGAACAAAACATCAACACTATTGAACCAAGGACTGCAAAGTAGTAATTATTATATATGCACTTACCAACCCAAGTATTTTGAGGGGTTTTTTGGAACATTAGGTGCAGCCACATGAATGGCCACTTTATTTTCCTTTTAATACTTTGCCAACAGGTGAGCCACCCATGCCACAATATTAACAAGGAAGAATAATTCCTGATTTTGAGTAGATAAAACATTAGTATATACAAAACACTGTTCTAACTGATGGTATCAGAAAACTCCAGTTTATCTAAGAACACACCATGGAGGGTCAGTGATCTCACATTTTAAAGAGTGATCAAAACTCCCCATTCAGATACCACCACAAAACCCCAAATCCATCTTTGGGGCTGCACTGCTTCAAAAGGGATTTAAGACTTGCCTGATCTTTACTGGAAAACCTAATGAAATGAAGCCTTTAAAAGTCTGGTTAGGGGTCTTCTTTCAAATGAACATTGCTACTCCTAGTTCTCAGCCAGAAAATACCTCCAATACCTCTTCTAATAGATTCTCCAAACCTACATCAACCCTCTGGCTGCAAAAGCCATCTCTGCCCAGAAGTCATCCTTGCACTGGGAAAGGCCTTTGAGCTGTGCAAAGGCTGAACAGCTGTTTCTTTCTCTGCAAATTCCTCCACTGCTCCTGATATAAAAGGCTAAGATGCTAACTTCGTTGACCTTAGGGCAAACAAAACACGGAGCTGGCAATTTCCATCCTGCTCAAGTAGGTTTTTGAGGGAGAATTACAAGCAACTGCCTAGCAGAAAGCAAATTAATTAACTTGTACCTACCCATTCAGAGCCTCCAAGTCAAATTAATTGTGACACCAAGCAACACAAAGGCAAATGTAAGAACACTCCTTTGCGTGAAATTCAGACACAGCCTTTCATGTTGCACACAGATTTGGGACGACGTAACACAGATAAAGCCCAGACATGTGAGACACTCACTGATCTGAGGCTGCAAACCAGAGACACATCTGTGCTGCTGTGGCACAAATTGAATTGGGAGGGAGAGGAAGCAGGTCCTGGGGACAGCAGATACTACATCAGTCCTGTTTATAAACTAATTTTCCACACATTAATGTCTCAGGTTAGACCTACTTGGGAGTCAATCTGGCAACCATGATATAGTAAGCAACTGATGCTTTTTTCTGTGTTACACGCTTGGATTGACACTGTAAAACTCCAGGAATTGTTTCCCAACCTATGTTACGGTGCCTGCAGTGTAGGATGGATCCATTTGTTAGCAGCCAGCAGCAGCATGAAACCTAACTTGCTCTAGTGGCAGAGTGCCCTCTTAGCCTCTTGTGTACCAGAGGAATAAACCACTTCTTAAAAAAAAAAAAACACCACCACAAAACACTAAACCAAAGGAAATTTACTCATGCCTCTTAGTATAGTCCTGGAGCTGCACAGAGAAAAGCAAGAAGGGGAGGAGGGAAAGCAGCCCTGTGCACCTCTCCAGCTGTGCAGCTCCACATCCCCTGTGACTGTGTCACTGCAGGCTGCTGCCAACAGAGCAGAACAACTCGTCTCCCCCATCTCCAGCCACGCACACCCATGAGATACAGTAGTTGTGCAGCCCCAAGCTGAACCATACCCCCTTTCTGCTCTGGACAAAAAGCAGCTCACCAAAAACCAGCACATTTTCCAACAGCTCAGTGCCTCTGTGCTACATGCCCTACAGTCACAAAGTCATCACATCCACCACAAGGAAGTGAGTGGGAACATGTCTAACAGCTGGAAAAAGGAGTTAGACCATCCAGGAGCTGTGCATCATTAAATCAAGTTGGGCACAGCACAGAAATTACCCTTGGTTTCCTTTCCCAACCATACCAATGCATTCAGAACCAAAGGTAAATGCATTTCCTTACACTACAGGATGAATCAGGTGGTTATTATTAAACCTTTTACACTGAAAGGATCATCTCCAAAATAATTACAGGATGAATCAGGTGGTTATTATTAAGCCTTTTACACTGAAAGGATCATCCCCAAAATAATCTGACACACCAAGAAGCTGTCACCATGCCCATGATGCTGGTGCAAAGGCAGAATCAGGAAGACAAGGTACCACTTCTGCAGTCAGGCTCTCCCTCCCAAACCCTATGCTCAAATCCACATGCTGCAGAGCAAGAAAATCCTGAAGTGAGCTAAGCCACACTGATAACAACCCATTTTCTTTTTTTTTCCCTTCTTTTGGCATCATCTCTTATTCCGTAATCAACAACCCAACCCTACAGGCTACTGGAATATACACCACCTGCTCTTTGCACTTGGCTAATAATGTCATTAGCCAAGAGTCTAATAATGGACAGTCTTGCCATGTTTCTAACTACATGAAAACACTTTTTTCCCCTGAGAAACTGGCAATCAAAATTAACAGGCATATTTTTCAGAATTTCTACTGTATTTTAGAGACCTCAAGGGCTGCCAGAGCTATTTTGGACACTGGTGACATCACACATTCAATTTGTGCAGTGGAGGTTTCTTTGGCAGAAGAAACACCAGCCCCTGCTGCACCAGGGTGGTGAGGAAGATGGGGAATACTTGCCTGCCATACAACTGACCAAAGGGAAAGGGAGATGGGAGGCCTATAATCCAAACATACATCAATAAAATGTCTAGGGTCTGGTGAGTCTAAAACTTAATGACCAGATCCTCTGCTCCAGTTGAAAATAAATGCTGTGCTACCCAGGCAGACTCTGGAATCTTGGAGTTACAGGAGCAGCTGGCTCCAGGAACAATTGGAGAACAGAAGAAAAATCACAGTTATTATAGGATGCTGTTTCCAAAAATCAAAGAATCATAGAATCATCAGTATTGGAAAAGACCTCTAAGACTACCAAGTCCAACCATTAGCCCAGCACTGCCAAGTCCACCACCCAACCATGTCCCCAGGTGCCACA